TCCAGATGGTGTTGTTCTTACTCAAAGTAAGTTCACTAAGGAACTTCTAGCTGCAAGTGGGTTTGACACAACAAAACCAATTGTTACTCCTCTCCCAGCAAATCTTAAACTCACAAAGGATGATGGTGTTCTTCTCCTTGATCCTACTCTTTATCGAAGCCTTGTTGGGGAATTAAATTTTCTCACACACACAAGACCAGATCTGGCTTTCACAGTCTAAAATCTCAGTCAATTCATGCAGTCACCAAGGAATACTCACTGGTAGGCTTCGCATCATATTCTAAAGTATGTTCAAGGAACTGTAGGGCAAGGAATATTACTCAAAGCAACCAACAGAATCACTCTTCAAGCCTTCTCTAATTCTGACTGGGCAGGTTGTCTAAACTCCAGGAGATCTGTGATAGGCTATGTTCTACAACTTGGCCAATCTCCAATAAGTTGGAAATCCAAGAAACAGGCTACTGTATCAAAATCTTCTTTAGAGGCTGAGTACATGGCCATGGCCAATGGTGCTTTAGAAGTTACATGGATGGTCAGGTTATTGGGTGAACTGGGTGTTTCTAAGTTGCAACATGTTGTTCTCCATTGTGACAATCAATCAGCTTTTCATATTGCAAGGAATCCTGTATTCCATGAACGAACAAAACATATAGAGATTGATTGTCACTTCACTCGAGAAAAGGTTATGGAAGGGTTGCTTCAGCTCACTTACTTGCCTACCTCTTCTCAAATAGTTGATGTGCCTACTAAGGTTCTACCATCTGAGAAGTTCAATCAGTTGCTTGCCAAACTTGGTCTGTTCAATCCCTAGCGAAATTTGAGGGGGATGTTGAGAATAGTGTACAGGCTTCTACAGCTCAGCCCATGTCTGCTCAGGCCCAGGATCAAGTTGGATCATCAGGAATAACAACTTGAAGTTGTTACACCTCAGCTGAGTCAGCATAAGTTGTTATGACAACTTATCCACCTCAGCAATCTTATTTTTTCTGCTTTTATTTCTTTACTTAAATAGGTAGTTGGTTAGCAATTAATTCTTCATTCAATTCATTTCCTGCAAAACTCTCTTCTGTAATGATGAACTCTCTCAATTCAGTATTTTAGTTTGTAGGCCAAGAGATCGAACTCTACGGACAGAGTGATGAAGGCAAGAAATCTTTGTGTTGTTTTTTGGCTTTGATTTTCAATTTCTGACACTTCCCTCTTTAATTAATGTATTGATCTTCACATTAATTATTGAATTAGTTGATCTTCTCCTTTATTTCACGATCTTCCCTCTTCTATAATTAGATACCGGCCAAAAAAATAAATAAATAAATAAATAAAAAAACAGATAACAATGGTCAGGTGCGTAATTTATTTGTAATTATCCCTTTAATCAAAACAAAATCAGATAACAAGGTCCAGGTGTCCACGCACCGTCCTTTTCACAATTGATTAGATTATTATAAATAAAGCATGTTTATGCATTAAACATGCAGTACGAGTATCATATTAAACATGCATTAAACATGTCCTTTTCACAATAAGTTAATGATTTTATTTCAATGTTTGGTGAAGCAACAAGATAAAAAAATGAAAGAAACGTGTAAACGCGTAGTTAGTTAGCCTTTTGACTAATTTTCTTCTCGTATTTTCTTACTTGTACTAAGCTAAAAATGGGAGTGATGAGACATAACTAGATACTCCCTCCATTTTTAAATACTTGCTCCATTATTTATTTTCGGCCGTTTTTAAATACTTACTCTATTTCCTTATTTGAAAAGTTTTTACAATATTTAATTCATTTCACTCATCTATTGGACCCAACATAAATCATAATATATTACTCCCTCCGTTTCGCATTAATCGTAACGGTGGAGTTGGCTCAAAGTTTAAGAAAATTATAGACTAAGCTTATATGCTTATAATACGGAGTATAAAGTATTGTTGGTAAGAGATAGAAATAAAAAAATAAAAAATAAAAATAAAAAAAAAATAGTGTGAGTGGGGTTGGTAGGAAAGAGAAATAATAAAATATTTGTGAAAGTGGGGTTAGTGGGAGAGAGAAATTATAAAATAATGATGGGTCCTTTCCAAATATTAAAGTATTGCAATTAATATGAAATAGATATAAAAAGAAAAGGTTGTTATTAATATGAAACGGAGAGAGTAATTTCATGTTCTCTCTCTTCCAACTCTTTCAACTACTTTTACTTTTTACAATTTTTTATTATTCCTCTACCGCACTACCTCCATATTTTATTACTTTCTCCAATTTCTCCTAAAACTACGCACATGGAGAAATGGAGCAAGTATTTAAAAACGGAGGTAGTAAGAAGTACTACCTCCGTTTTTATTTAAGTGACATCATTCTCTTACCATGCTTGTCAACGCGTTATTTTAGCGATTAGTATCTCTAATTAAAGTGGATATTAATAAAATATACATTGAGACGATTCAAACAAGATTCCACTTGACTATGTTTAATCATAGCTATAAATTATAAAGCTAGTCAAAGGGTAATTTTATAAATAGTGTAAAAGTCAAATAGAGTCAACTAAAATAACAGAGGAAGTATAACATATCAAGTGTCATTGGTGGATCTTGAATAAAAAAAATTCCGGGGTCAAATTAAGAGTGATATATTATGAGTTATACTTTTGTCTCAATGTTAAAGGGAGACCAAATTAAGAATAACTTCAATTTTGGCGGGGAGCTAGCCGCCCCTACTGGTCATAGAGAAGATACGCCATTGTCAAGAACTAACACGATTTAGACCGGTGTACTTTATCAATAAGTATTCCACCAAAAAAAAAATTAAATTTCTATGAATGCAAAGCATGCCAAATTCTTAATTATGCTATGGTATTTATGAGTTATGTCTAATTGCCACTTCGTTTACTACTAAATCAAGGTACACTTGACCACATGGACATCTTAGATTGTCGGGCAATGCCTCTCACATATAATACTTCTCGGAATTGATAATAAGAAATATAATCTCACGACATTCAAAGTCCTCCCAAGCTCTAATCAACAATAATCACTAGATAGTTTGCCTTGCCGTTAATCGGGTTCATATATGTGCATTTTGAATCAAGTTTATAGGTCATTATTGTTTTATAGCTTTGACTCCTTAAAACCAAAATCAACAAAAAGAATACAAGTATTTTATGCCGAGTATATGGTACTTTTACTTGAGACTTAATTTAGGAAATTAAAATATTATCTTATGACGACTCTTTAATTGTCGGCTGGAAAAAAAATATAAATAAACAAATAAATTAAGTCCAAAGTTTATAAACCTACAAACATAAAATGAAGCCCCTATGGAACATACATTTTCAAACTATCCAACACAAAGACGACATTAAAATTATCAAATTATTGCTAATTCACTTTCTCCGTTCTTTATAATTTGCCTTGTTTATCTTTTTATACTATACCTTTAAATTTGCCTCATACTACAAATGAATGAAATGATCATAAGTGTCCATTACTTTATTATCATATGCACTAATGTATGTTTAGTTCATCTTATTTTAACATATTTCATATTATTATTTATAAGTTTAGATAATGTTATTAATTGGTAAATTATACAAGTATGTACATCGTATAAAAGTCACGTACCTATATTCAATTTTAAATAGTTTTAATAAATTTTAGTGTTCTTATGTATTCACATTCAGCGCTTTTTTTTTCGTATGAGCCACACTGTGAGGCAAGCTAACACACACCAAAATACTGACCTAATAACCCCTGACAAACTAAGTAACCCCTGACCGAGTAACCCCAACCATATGTGTGGCCAGTCACATATGAAAATTTGTGATTTAGATTAGCGTGTTTTGCATGATAAGTTTAGATAAATTCAATTAAAATAAATTTTTATAAGTTTATATTAATAAAATCGGGTAAATATAACATATACAAACCCTAAACCAATTTTACTCTTTCTTTATAGTACCTATACATTAGACCTGGAAAACGAGTCATTCGGGTCGGGTCAATCGGGTTTTGGTTCAGTTTCGGATAAATAATTATTCAGGTTGGGTATCGGGTCAACACTTTGGGTCGAGTTCGGGTCGAGTCGAGATTGGGTCAGGTCGAGATCGAGTCGGGTCATTTATATCAGGTCGGGTCGGGTCAGTCTTCGAGTCCAAATGTCGAGTCAAATTCGGGTCGGGTTGAGTTTGGATCGGGTCAATTCGAGTCGGGTCAATCTTCAAGTCCAATTGTCAAGTCAAGTTATGGTCAAGTCATGTTTTAAGGTTGTTAATCGTTTTTTTTTTTTTAAATAAAAAATAAAAATTTATAAAGTTACGATTGAAAATTTAGAGGGAAATTTACCTCCATACTTAATCAAACATTTAACTTGAACACTTGATTTTTTAGTAGTGGAAATTCTTCCCTCTAAAAGTAAAAGTAACTTCACTAAAAAATTTGTTGGAAAACTCCCTCTTATTCCAAATAACTTGAATGTTTGATTTATAAATAGCGGGAAAATTTTCCCCCAACAATAAAGTCACTAAAAATTTAAGTAGGAAAACTATTAATAAAATTAAAAGAACATTCAAAACATGCAAATTATATAATAAATATCAACTAAAAGTACAGGTCGATTTGGTTTAGATTATTTTCAATAAGTGTTTATTCGGGTAAAGTAATTAAGCCCTAAATCGATCAGTTAGGTCATTTTGAGTATCAATTAATTTTGATTCGAGTCATTTTGGGTATAGTTCGGGTCGCTTCAGGTCGAGATCAGGCCGGGTCCATTCGGGTTTCGGGTCGGGTCAATTCGAGTATCGGGTCAAATTCGGGTCGGATCAATTCGGGTATCGGGTCAAGTTCGGGTTTACTCCATTTTGAGTCGGGTATGAGTTGGATCGGGTCAGTCGTGTTCAGGTCAATTTCTGATTGACGTTTTCAGGTCAATTTCGAGTCACGGATCGAATCATTTGGATCGGGTCAGGATTGCCAATCTACTATACATACACCTCATAATTAAAAAAAAAAAAAAAAAAAAAAAAACTATACCCATAGACCCATAGTCCCATATTGATATATTCTAGAATAGTCAAAAGTGGACGGATTGAGTAAAGTTATAATGCTAACATGCCAATTTTAAAATCCATGATTCTTTCGTGCATATACTGTACAAAATGCATGAATATATAAATAGAAGTTGTGACATCCACCAAATGACACCACAAACATATCCATCATATTTTTTCTTCATTATTTCTTCTAAGCTAGGCATAACCATGACTTACTACTGTTCTTCAGAGAGCTTAGTATGCACCGATTATCTTGAATTAAACCCAGAAAATGCTAGTTTTTACGATCTTCTTCGCCTTTTATTCTTTAATGAGAGAACTAATCATTTTGTTTGCCCTCCCAAATTCGAACAAGATCTAAAAAGTTTTAACTATAGATGGCTCATTTTTGTTTCAGCTCTTTTGTTTAAGTTGTTTCGATACATGAAGAAACCAATGGCTCATATTGGCTATTTCATTGTAACATGGATGAATCTAATAACGAACAATGGTGGATTGCTCAGATTGTGGCTAAATTTTTTCAAAGGTTAGCAATATAAACATTAATTATTTATTAATGATCATTTCTGTTAATTAGTTTAATTATTAATTATGTTTCACTATCTCAAAGTGTATTAAACGCAGTTTCTGTCTTATCAAAGATTATGTGTAATCTAGTTTTTTATTTTCTTTTTTTTTTTGGTTCCTCTCCCGATTGATAATAGGAAGAGAAAGAAAGAACAAAAGAAAATGAAGGGAGCATATTGTTATGCATGCAAGTTGCAAAAATATACATGGGGCCGATGTGGCGTAAGTAAACACTTTCATGGGGTATAAGGGAGTAAAATCAATTGTCAAAAACAAAGCAAAAGTGTTAAAAAAGGAAAAAAAGAAAGAATGGAGTTTATAATCACAATTTTGTGTTTTGGTTATCTAAAATAAACTTCACTCTCTTTTTTCCACTCTAATATTATTTGGGAAATTTATCATGTATTTACACTTTCATGTCATGTGTTCATGTTACAATAAAAATTTGGTCAATGTTATAAAAATAAGTACTTCGTAACATGATATTCATCCTCAATTAATTATTGTCAATGTATTCTATTTTGATCAATCTACAAAAAAAAGCCTACTCTGCACACCAAATTATCATCAAATCTTAATATGCATATACATGCTCAAACTTAATTAAATGGATAATAATTTAAGAACAACGGGAGTGTTTTTAAAGAGAAATAAATAAAACACGTAACTTTAGGAAAAAGTATAAGATAAACGTTAAAATGTCAAACATTATTCGATGTATAAATCTTGTTGTGACTTCCAAATAAGAGTACTCTCCTAGAATATGTAATTATTGCACATACAGTCATACTTAACCCTTGCGGCTAACATAACCATAATGGTAATTACTAGCTATTAAACGTTACAACAATGAATTTCATCAAAAAAAATTAAATAAATAAATAAATAAATAAAAATAAAATACCGTAACACATTATTTAAATTTCTGTATACTGCCAAGGATCAACTAGATCGATTGTGTAATTAGAGATTAATTTATTCATTAATAATTAAAATGGATTCAATTCATAATTCATAAATCTAAAAGATTAGGTTAAATCTGTATAATCATCTAATCAACAGACAATACTCCCCAGATGGGATCCAATTGGTATTTGGTAGCATATGAATCAAAAATATTTGCTGATGATAATGAAGGTTTAGGCCAGCTATTAAATTAATTTAACTAATAATAACAACCGTGAAATACATAATTATGTCCCCCCTAAGTTAGTGAATTAATAATATTGATCAATTAAATAATTAAATTTATTGTCACTAACTGAGGTCTATGTTAAGTAAGTATCCTAGCTTGTGCTAATTACAATTATTTTACCGCATGTTTATAATACACAATCACTTGGCACACCTAAGGGTAGTTTGGGTATGGCCGTATGGGTGTTCGATTTAGGAGGTTAAGAAAGGTCCTATAAAGTTATTATAGATCGCAAAATGAGAAGATGGAGGGATAATCCCTCCATCTCCCCCCCCCCCCAAGTGATTGGGGGTTCGATTCTTCACCCAGCCTTCTAATACTGTGATAGGGTGAAGGGCCCATTCCGTATCTTGTTATTATAGACATATGTAATTAGTAAAGGACGTGGGTGACAAATGTTCCATCATAATTTAAAAAGTTAAAAAATCATGCATTTATGTGATAGTGATATTTTATGAAGTTAGAGTTTTAACCCTTCCCTTCACACATAAGACCCCTTCTATTATCAATGTGGGATAATCACAAATTATGTTATTATACTTAATTATACAGTTTAGTTTATTATACATGAACTCTTATTAATAAGAAATTATTGATGTATACGACATACACTGATATACCTACATCATTTTTAATTTACATATATTAATATTTTGTTTGAAAAATCTTATGAAATTGGACAGGAAAAGTGCATATGCCAAAAGAGTCAAGCGAGACATATAGATCAATTATAGCACTTCTTGATCCAAGAGCGGATTTGGACCCAAGAATTCAACCGGGGCATGCCAATTATGAGGCTTCACTCTCTTGGATGGCTGCTAAGTTATCCTATGAAAATTCAGCCTTCATTAAAAATGTTGTTGAGGACAACTGGAAGGTATTGTACACTTTTTTGATGTTGGCATCGGTTTAATGTTAATTAGCTTATACATACTCATGTAATCATGTATGATTAGATATTTCAAGGGAATCCACACCTTTGTGTCTCAATTAGGGGGGGTACCCGATCGAGTCCGAATTCGGTTACCATTAAATTGGTTTAGAACTTATGGTCTCAAGACCAGAACTAGTAGATATCGGTACGGTGCTAGTACCGAGTAGCTTGAAATCTTTTTATACTCCCTTCGTCCTTTAATTACATGCCTATTTTTCTATATTATGTGAGTAATAAATGCTAGAAATAGGCATTTAATAAAGGGATGAATGGGGTAAAAATTAATTTAAGTTAATTAATTTGTCTAAAATTATGTGTCACTCAAATACCAATTTTATACTTCTTAGTTTCTGTCGCCATCTTTTAATATTCTTATATTGACATCTAATTATGTCTAATATTTAACAGATGGAGCTATTAGGGGATTACAACTTTCGAAATGGTAAGCATTATTAAAGCAGTAGATGAATATGTTTTTTTGTTATCCATTGTGCTTTCTTTTACTTCAAGGGCGGATTTAGGATTATTAAGTTAGTGAGCACTTCAAATTATCAATTCAATATATTCATCTTCTATTTTTCTTTTTAAATATAATAAATTTTGAAAATGGTGCGATATGTGCCGCCCAAAACAATACCCTTACTACATCCCCTATAACGAAGGGTACTACACGAACAATAATACCCTGAAAATTTTTATTTGCACCAATTAATTAATTTGCCAATCATTTGTTGTAGATTTCCAAGCGAACAATTCTACAGACGCATTCATGGCGCGCAACATAAGCAAGGACAAAGACACAATAGTGGTGGCATTTAGAGGCACAAACCCCTTCGATACAGACGACTGTTGCGCTGACATTGATATCTCTTGGTTTAAGCTAACGAAAGTAGGAAAAGTTCACGGTGGATTCATGAAAGCATTAGGCCTTCAAAACACTAAATCCGGTGTCGGATGGCCAAAAGAGATGGAAATGGGCGATGAACAACAACAGTTTGCATATTATAAAATTCGACAAGTCCTTCGAAACATTATTCAAGAGAACAAGAACGCAAAATTTATAGTAGCGGGACATAGTTTGGGTGGTGCATTAGCGATTCTATTCGCTAGTGTTTTAATATTACATGAAGAGAAAGAATTGCTTGATAGATTGGAGGGAGTTTATACATTTGGACAACCAAGGGTGGGAGATGAAGAATTTGGAGATTTTATGAAGAAGCAATTAAAGACCTACAATGTGAAATATTGTAGGTATGTTTATTGCAATGATATGGTTCCTAGACTTCCTTATGATAACAAGACCCTCTTGTTTAAGCATTTCGGCTCGTGCCTCTATTATGATAGTTTCTACCAAGGAAGGGTAAATTTCTCCATCTTTCTTTATCATTTTTACATTTGCATGTTTGCACGAACATGAGTATTTATTTGTTTTTTTTTCAAAGAGCGTCCACCGTGATAAATTAACCCCAATATCTCTAATTAACTAGACTGACTTGGTGCATATTAAAACAACTTTGAAGTGTGAAGATATCTCTAAATATTCCTATATATAATAGAGCAAATTTCCATTGATTTTAATAATATGCATCATGAAGTAAATACACGCATATACCATGAATTATTTATAACTTTTTTTTTTTTTACAATGTATGAATAAAAAGTCATATGACATTTAGATATGAAGTCTGAATCTAACAAATACATTTATGATTTTGAAAATATATCATATGGACATTTCTTTTGACATGTTTGTTATGTTATGGATGATTGTAGGAATTGAAAGTGGAGCTAAATAAGAACTATATATCATTGGCGTGGATGATACCAAAGTTCATGAATGCATGTTGGGAGCTAATTAGGAGTTTCATACTTACACATATGAAATGGGGCCCAGATTACAAAGAATGTTGGTTTCAAGTTATTCATCGGGTGATTGGGCTCGTTATCCCAGGCCTTTCGGCCCATGGCCCACAAGATTACACAAACTTAATTCGATTGGGCCGCATGGCTGAACATCATCACCATGAAAATTCAATTAAATGAATATTAATCAACTAATTATTTTTTGGCACAAGAATAAGTTATACACCTAAAAGAATAGGCAACTTATGATCGTGCTTGATGCCTTGGTATTAATGTTGAAATTACTTTTTGTGTAGGAATTGGCAAATTGTTTTGGGCAACTATGATGATTTTTTAATGATATGTTGTGTTTTGTGTATATTATTTGGCTTATTTTTAGTTAGTTTTGTTAGTTTAGTTGAGTATGTGAGTCCGTTTCGGCGTATTTTGCTTTAGTTTGGATAATTTGATGCTTTTATGGGTAGTTGTGTTGTTTTTGATGAATTTCAGGAATAATGGAACTAATTTGGATGAGTTATGGATCCATGAAGTAAGCCAAGGCCCATGAAGTTGAAGAATTGAAGAAAAGGCCCTTTTAGAGGTAGGCACGGCCGTGCCTACTATGAGGCACGTCTGTGCTTCTGAGTATACAGCAGTGCCTTACTGAAGACCCTAGGCACGTCCATGCCTAGCAAAGGGGCACATCCGTGCCCAGGTAAAGAAGCAGGCACGTCCGTCCCCAGCAGTCAGGCACGTCTGTGCCTGGAAGACAGACTCAGCAGCGTTTTTATTTTTAGAGAGGCACGTCCGTGTCTCACACTAGGCACGTCCGTGCCTCCTGGAATTTCAGTGCCGCCAAACTTAGGAGTTAAATCTTATCTTTTTAGGTTTGTTTATAAAACTTTTAGCCGTGTTTTGAGGACAATTAATTAATTAAGCCTTGTTTTTATTTTTATTTTTTATTATTCTCTCCTTAAGAACTAGTTCTCCATTATTATTTTCCAAGTTTTTGTAATTCAAGATTCAAGATTCAAGCTTTCTACTTTCAATTCTATTCAAGATTTGGTATTTATTTTTCATCCTTTGTTATTTAATTATGTTTTCATTATTTATTATTATTTTTGTTTCTTTAATCATGTGTGAGTAGATTCTTTAATTCAAGGTCTAGTGTAGCCCTATTATTATTGATGCATGAATTAAATCTTTAAATTCTTTAATAACTTTAACAATTGAATTGCTAAATTGATTGTGATTATGCCAATGCTAGGTTAGACGTAACTATAGTATTGCTATTATTCCATTGTTTTTATCACGGCGAGAGTTGGGTATAAACGGATTTGAGTAAATCAATTTAGGGTTTGATTCTCAACACGAGAGTAGTTGGGTTTGATAATTGGGAAGTGAGAGTAATGTGTTTAATGTCTTTAATATGCATGATACCATGAGAATAGGATTGATTGTATGTTAGGGAAGCCATTGATACTCGAGAGAGATCCTTGGTATTTATTAGGGTTTACTTTTCCCCGTTCGATTGAAATCGTATGTTAAGGGTAGAATTACAATTGTATCGATAATAATTGTGGTGAAACTAGATCTTGGATGTTTTAAGTACTTGATTTAATCATCTTATTTAGTTTATTTTCGAATTCTTCTCATACTTAGTTCCTTAGATAATTGATTATAATTGATTCTTTCTTAGTAGAAATTCGAGTCTATTTAATTATTTTTGAACCTTAGTCTCTTGGGATCCGACCCTTACTTGCCAGTCAACATTAGTATTGGTCTGTTAGGTTATTTTTGATAGGTACGCGACACGCCTACCAAATTTTGGCGCCGTTGCCGGGGACTAACGGTTTCATTAGATTAATTGTGATTCATTTTTGCTAGGCTTATTTCGTTGCTTCGGCTATTTTCTCTTGTGTTTTTGATACTCTTTCTCTAGTTTTCTTGTTGCATGCCCACACGAAGCTCCGGTTTGGAAGATCTAGTACCTTTTGATTCTGAAATCGAAGCAACCGCAAGAAGACGAGCAGGTAGAAGAAGAAGGAGAAATCAAACCAATAGAAATATGGTAGACCAACCAACGAAATCCCTCTTGGAGTACGGTATTCCTGATACGACTACCGGAGTCCTTTCAAGCATCATAAGACCACCAGTCACGGCTCAGCACTTCGAGCTCAAGCCACAGTTCATACAGTTCATCTCCAATGATTCATTCGCAGGGCTACCACATGATTGCCCCGTAAGTCATATAGATAACTTTCTGGAGAAATGTGATACTATGAAGTTGAATGGTGTTACAGATGATGCAATCAGACTATGCCTTTTCCCCTTCTCACTTCGAGACAGGGCAAAGGAGTGGTTAAGAGATGAAGGCACTGGCTCGTTCGATACATGGGACAAGTTAGTGAAGGCCTTCCTAGTGAAGTTTTTAGGGAATGAGAAGACTGCAAGATTGAGGAATGACCTACAAACTTTTAAGCAGTCAGATGATGAGTCTCTCTATGAGGCTTGGAGAAGATTTAAAAGATTGCAGAGACAATGCCCTCACCATGGCATTCCAGATTGGATTTTGATGCAGACCTTTTACAATGGCATGACTCATGAGTTCCGTATTTACATAGATGCTGCGTCAGGAGGTTCTCTCTTGACAAAGAACCCCACTGAAGCTAGGGAGCTCATAGAGAAGATGGCGGCTAATGATAACTATCATCCTGGAGGCCGAAACACTGTGAAAAAGGGAGGTAAACTTGATGTTGATGCTTTAACTATGCTAACTAGATCTGTGCAGGCACTAACAAGCAGGTTTGATAAGTTCCAAGCAGGAACTTCTAACACCCCACAGGAGTTGTGTCAGTTATGTAATGTGCTGGGTCATGTTGCTCCAGATTGCCCACAGATTTCGCAGAATACGGAAGAGATGTCAATCGAGCAAGCCAATGCTTTCTACTCCTCCAACCCAAAGAGACCTTATGACCCTTATTCCAACACCTACAATGAAGGATGGAAACACCATCCTAACTTCTCATACAAAAATTCCCAAGCACAACAAAACCCTCCACCACCACCTCCACCCAACACCTACAACCAACCACCACCTGGTTTCCAACAGAAAACAACCAATGCCCAACAACCAATGCAACAACAACCTCAGAAATCAAGCCTAGAGGTGACATTAGAGAGCTTTATAACCGCAACAAACAATGCCATCCAACATCAAAATAGCTCTATCCAACAGTTGCAGGCTCAGGGTAAACTTATGGAGAATCAGATAAGCCAATTGGCCAACCAATTTAGCCAAGCCCTAAAGACTCCAGGAACCTTCCCGGGCCAGACTGAACAATCTCAAAAAGGCCAAATGAATGTCGTCACCCTGAGGAGTGGAAAGCAGTTGGAAGATCCTCCTACCAAGGAGCCATCAAGAGAGGTCATTGAAGAAGTGAGTGCAAGTGAGAAGGAAGTGGAGGATGCTAGGGTCGAGGAAGCATCAAAGGAAGCACCACCAAAGCCACCTTCTCCATATATGCCTAAGGTTCCTTTTCCTCAAAGATTAGCACAAGCTAAACTTGAGAAAAAGTTCAGTAAGTTCCTCGATGTTCTTAAAAAGCTTCATATTAATATTCCATTCCTAGATGCCATATCTGAGATGCCTTCTTATGCAAAATTTTTAAAAGATATGCTATCTAACAAGAGGAAATTAGAAGAGAATACTACAGTTGCTTTGAATGCAGAGTGCAGTGCTATTTTGCAGAACACTCTCCCTGAGAAATTAGGAGATCCAGGTAGCTATTCAATTCCAGTGAAGCTTGGAGATATTGAGATCAACATGGCACTATGTGATCTAGGTGCAAGTGTGAGCCTCATGCCACTGTCTATATGCAAGAAGCTGCAGATGGGTGAACTCAAACCCACACGCATATCTCTGCAACTTGCAGACAGGTCAGTGAAGTTTCCTTTGGGTGTACTTGAGGATGTACCCCTCCGAGTAGGTAAGTTTTTCATCCCATGTGATTTTGTTATGATGGAGATGGATGAGTATGTGAATGTTCCTATCATACTAGGTAGACCTTTCTTAGCTACTGTAGGTGCAATTATAGACATGAAGAAAGGTAAGATTACTTTTGAAGTAGGTGATGAGAAATTGGAATACTCACTTTTGAATGTTATGGGTGCTCCTTCTATGGGAGACACTGTTTGTCAGGTTGATGTGCTCGATGAGCTGCAGAATGAGCAACTTCTCTTGAATCAGAATGATGATGCTCTTGAACAAGTGCGATTAGGGAAGGAAGATGATAATGGAGATTAGCAGTCTAAGGAGTATACCAGGTTACTTGATGAAGCAAGGGCCGATCCAAATCAGAACCCGATCAGAGAGACATTGGAAGCAATGAGTATTGGGGAGAGTTCTAAGCCTCCCGAGGTAGAGCTGAAACCCCTCCCCTCTAACTTAAAATATGCATATCTTGGTCCAAATAATTCATATCCTGTTATTGTCAATGCTGAACTCAAGGACACAGAATTGGAGCAATTGCTCAACGTTCTGAAAACGTATAAAAGTGTCATTGGGTACACCATTGATGATATCAAGGGCATTAATCCTTCTTTCTGTATGCATAAGATCATTCTTGAAAACGATCATGCCTCTTCTGTAGAACCTCAGAGAAGACTTAATCCTAATATGATGGAGGTAGTTAAAAAAGAGGTTCTGAAATTGCTTGCTGCAGGTATAATCTACCCTATCTCTGATAGTATGTGGGTCAGCCCTGTGCAAGTAGTACCAAAGAAGGGAGGTATGACCGTTGTCAAGAATGACAAGGGTGAGCCAATCGCCACTAGAACTGTCACAGGATGGCGAATGTGTATAGATTATAGAAAGTTGAATAAGGCCACCCTGAAGGATCACTTCCCCTTACCTTTTATTGATCAGATGCTTGAAAGGTTGGCAAAACATTCCTTTTTCTGTTACTTGGATGGATATTCAGGTTTCTTTCAAATTCCCATCCATCCCTATGACCAGGAAAAGACTACTTTCACATGTCCATATGGCACCTTTGCATATCGCAGGATGCCATTTGGATTATGTAATGCTCCTGCCACCTTTCAGCGATGTATGATGGCAATTTTCTCAGGACTCATAGAAATCTCTATGGAATTATTTATAGATGATTTCTCTGTCTATGGAACATCTTTCGATGTATGTCTTGAAAATTTGAAAAAGGTGCTCCAAAGATGTAAAGAAGTTAATCTAATCTTAAACTGGGAAAAATGCCATTTTATGGTGCAACAGGGAATTGTCTTAGGTCATGTTGTATCTAACAAGGGTATTGAGGTAGATAAGGCTAAGATACAGGTCATAAAGCGTTTAACCCCTCCGAACTCTGTAAGAGGAGTTCGAAGTTTCCTTGGTCATGCGGGTTTTTACCGTCGTTTTATTAAGGATTTTTCAAAAATTGCTCGACCTCTAACTGAGCTTTTAGCTAAGGATGTTCCTTTTTGTTTTCTCTAATGCTTGTCTTAAGGCTTTCAACAGGTTGAAAGAAGCTTTGATCTCTGCTCTTGTCATGCAACCTCCAGATTGGAGCCTGCCGTTTGAAATCATGTGTGATGCTAGTGACTATGCAGTAGGAGCCGTTTTGGGGCAAAGAAAAGAGAAAAAGCTCCATGCCATTTACTATGCTAGCAAAACTCTTAGTTCTGCTCAAATGAATTATGCCACAACTGAGAAAGAGATGCTAGCTGTAATTTATGCAATTGACAAGTTTCATTCCTATTTGGTTGGTTCTAAAGTTATTATTCATATAGATCATGCAACACTGAGATATTTGATGACCAAGACCCATGCAAAGCCTAGGTTGATTCGATGGATTCTTCAACAGCAGGATTATGACATAGAGATCAAGGATACAAAAGGGACGGAGAATGTTGTTGCAGATTATCTCTCCCGTCTTCTCCTTGACCCCGAGGATGGGGATGAAATCCCTTTTGATGATTCTTTCCATGCCGAACATCTATTAGCTTTGTTGCTGACTGAATCACCTTGGTATGCTGATTTGGCTAATTTCCTTTCCAAAGGTATAAAGCCTCATGGCTACTCCACTCAACAAAGGAAGAAATTCCTCTCTGAGGCAAGGAGACACTTTTGGGAGGATCCCTTCTTGTACAAATTGTGCGCAGACGCAGTGATCAGACGATGCATCCCAGAAAGTGAGGTAAGAAGTGTTATTTCTCATTGCCATGACTTACCATGTGGTGGACATGCGGGTCCCTCAAAGACAACCGCAAAGATCTTGCAGTGCGGTTTTTATTGGCCAACAATGTTCAAAGACGTATATTCCTATGTCAAGGCATGTGATCGATGTCAACGGACGGGCAATATTTCTAGGAAGAATAAGATGCCACTCAACAACATACTCGAGGTCGAGTTGTTTGATGTGTGGGGGATAGACTTCATGGGTCCGTTTCCTTCTTCCTATGGTAACCGATACATCTTAGTAGCCGTTGACTATGTGTCAAAGTGGGTGGAAGCTATTGCTACTCCAACCAACGATGCTCGTGTGGTAAGCAAATTTTTTAAGAAAACTATTTTTCCCCGATTTGGTATCCCACGTGTGTTGATTAGTGACAGGGGGACGCACTTTATGGAGCATCGATTCGAGGCAATGCTGAAAAAGTATGGAGTACAACACCGGTTGGGCATTGGATATCACCCTCAAACCAGTGGCCAAGTTGAAGTATCTAACCGAGAAATCAAGTCTATTCTAGAGAAAACGGTTGCAAGAAAAAGGAAAGATTGGTCCGCTAAGATTAATGATGCATTATGGGCATACCGAACAGCTTTTAAAACGCCAATTGGTACAACCCCATATAGACTTGTGTATGAAAAGGCGTGCCACTTACCAGTCGAGCTAGAACACCGAGCTTTTTAGGCTATTAAAAGTTTAAATTTCGATGCTCAAGAGGCAGGAGAAAAGAGATTATTACAATTAAATGAGCTAGATGAGCTCCGCCTTGAAGCCTATGAAAGTTCAAAGTTGTACAAAGAAAAGACCAAAAGGTGGCATGATAAGGGTCTCGTGAGAAGGGAGTTCAAAGAAGGGGATCAAGTCCTTCTTTTCAACTCTAGGTTGAAATTATTCCCTGGTAAGCTTCGGTCTAGGTGGTCGGGACCGTTCAAGATTAGGAAAGTCTTCCCCTATGGCACTATTGAGTTGGAAAACACAAGAAGGGAACCTTTCAAAGTCAACGAACAGTGAGTGAAGCACTACCGAGTCGGTGATCCCATCGATGAGGGGGTGGATATCACACTCTCGTCCCCATCACTAAGCTCCTGAGAAGCCATACGGTCAAGCTAAAGACCTTATAAACAAGCGCTAAATGGGAGGCAACCCATTCTTGAGTTTTTACTCATTTTTCGTTAATCTTTCTTTTTTATTTTCATTAATTTTTTTTTATTTGATTCCTATGTCTAGTTTTTGTTTTGTTTGTGGTGTTAAATTAGGTGAAAAGTAAGCAAAAAGAAGAAGAAACAAGGAGGAAAAGCGCTAAGAAGAAGGAAAAAGGGAAAAAATTGAAATCTGCAGAGGCACGTCCGTGCCCCTGAGGAGGCACGTCCGTGCCTCTGAGGCAGAATGTTTGGGGGGTTGAATTACTAGAGAGGCACGTCCGTGCCCCCCATTAGGCACGTCCGTGCCTCAGGTTTTCCGTATTCCAGTTTTTTTTAATTACTTTTATTTTCAAAAAAAAAACCCTGGAATAACTAGGCACGTCCGTGCCTCTGAGGCAGAAAGTTCAGAGTTCAGAATTTTGAAAAGGCACGTTCGTGCCCCCCCCACCCAGGCACGTCCGTGCCTCCCTCAAAAATAAGGAGGACACGGGCATGCCTATTTTCTTCACTCCTAAACTCTCACCTCTCAAAATTTCGAAGCTTTCTCTCTCCTCCTTCCCTCACAACATTCGCCCCTCCTCCCTCAATTACTCACTCAATTTCTCAATTTTTTGGCATCAATCTTCAACATTTTCATCTTTCTACTCAATCCTCACACTCCATTAACAACAAAATTCAACCCAAAGCCCAATTTGTGCAATTTTTCAAAGAACCCTAGATTTAAAAATCAATTTGGGGCTTTTTGATTTGAAACTTTTTGAAGCAATTGGGAAGCAAGAAAGGGATTCAAGGTGATTATCGCAACGTTTGTGGATCATTTGCGGGTATCTAACATCCACCACACCTTGGGTAACCCCTTTTATCATACTTTCTCTCTCTAGGTTTTCATGAATAATTTTTTTATAAGTTGCTCATAAAACATTGTTAGAGATTGTTGATTGTGTTTGGTTTGTTCAATTTGTTTTGATATTTGTGATTATGAGTTTGTGTAATGTGATTGAGAAACTAATATTGATTTTGAAGCATTGTTGAAGCATTGTGGATTTTTGTGAGTTTGTGGTTGATTAATTGATTGTTTCTTTGTGTGCTTGATTGATATACATTGCTTGAAAAAATTGAAATCATGGCCTCCTCATACAACCAAAGAATAAATAGGCCTAGGAGCACCTCTTCCAAAAACCTTAGAACCCTTCCCGTACCACAACCTCCTCCCGTACCACTTGCCCATATTCCACCCATTGAGACATTCGGGATTGATTCAAGGGAAATGAGGAATACATGAAGAACTTTCTTTGCCTTAGATCCCGACCCTTAGTGCCTACACGGTTCTTTGACCAAGAGGCTATGGAAACCTTGGGTATGGGAGGTAAGGTCCAACGCATACTTAGCCGGCTAGGATGGAGTGGTTTCTTAGCCAAACATGCCAACACCTACTCCAACATTACATACGAGTTTACCTTGGAAGTCCGTCGTAGACCCGACGGCCACACCCCTAGAGATGTTTCATTCAATTGTCTTGGTGAACGTCACACCCTTACGGTGAGGGAAGTTAATGTCTTGCTAGGCTTCCCCACCTTTGGCCAAATAGGTAGACCAAACTACAGTAGGTTGACTGGCTACAGTGACCTTAACACATGGCGAGATTTGACTGGGCTAGATGACTACGACCCTAGCCACTCTAAGACCTCATGCATCATCCACCCAGCCATGAGACTTATCTGCCAACTCTTTTCCTGGACCCTATTTGCTAGATGTAACACAGGGGGAGTTTGCTCGGCCAAGGAGCTCTATTTTCTATGGCATTTGTTAGCTCACCCCGACCCCACTGAGTATGATGACATGATTAACCCAGGGGCATGGTTTTTAGATCACCTATATAACGTAGCCATGGGGTCCGGGGACATTGCTATAGGTGGTATGCT